AATGGACAAGATTTATTAACAGATCATCAACCTGATGAAACACAGTTGTCGTTTGTGTCTCAAGTTTGTGCAGCTGCTGAAAGGTTGTTCAGGAACATGGATATACCTAGTGAAAAGGCTTTGGCACATCGGATATATGATGCAGAGGTAAAAATAAAACTAGTGGTGTATGCGATCGTGCCTTAAGGCAAATTGCAAGAACTTCCCGTACCGTAATGAAATATTCGAGAAATTTTAAACGTTTTCAAATATATTATTACAAATACTATAACTTTCATTATTTTTGCTATCTTGTTATATCTGAGCAAATCAAATGTAAATCATAAATCATTTTATCTCCAGAACATTAACAATCGTCATTTCATTTCGAATTCAATTTCAAAAAAATAGTTGCCTAATAAATTTACACAAAATTGAAAAAGTGCTCCCGCGTAGTCACAGTCTAAACGCATTTGCAAATAATTCTGTGCGACATTTTCACTTATACTGTGCTTAACTTGGTGGCATTTTCACATTTTTCAATAGTTTTCACAAAATTGGAAAGTGCTCCAGTCTAAACTCACTTGGGTAAACATTTGTACCAGAGTGGCGCTTAGACTGTGCCTAGACTGGGTCATTTTTTGAATTTTCAATCCAAAATTACAAAAATATTTTATGGAAAATAAAAAAAGATGTATTAATTTTTTGAATTATCCTTTTATCTTCAGAAGCAGAAAGTTTTTTAGATCATTCAAATCGGACGCTTAGTTCACTCAAAAACTGCCATTTTTTGCACATTTAGCTCTGTATCTTCGAAATGGCGGGACCTGTCTTTGCCAAAAGCTAATCACCTCTTCTCCCAATCATTACAAATTGAATGTTTTTTAGATCATTCAAATCCGATGCTCCGTTCTCTCAAAAACTCGATTTGTATTTGCTGCACTCTTTGCTCCGTATCTCCGTAACGACCGGACCTGCCTTTGCCAAAAATTAATCAGAACATCTCCCTATTAATAGGAATTGAATGTTTTTTTTAAACCATTCAAATCGGTTGATCCGTGCGCCCGAAAACGTGAACGAAAAAATGCGGACATACAAAACACACACACTCACACACATCCATTTGGTTTCTGAGGTATGCCAGTAAAATGTTCAGAAATCTTGAAAACGTCGAGAAATGCAAAAATTTCCAGTTTCGATTATTCGGCCATTACTATAACTACCCTACGGGAAGTTAATAATACATTATCTGTGGATTAGTATTGACTTGTTTATTTTTATTTAGGTTATCGAATTAAATTCCGAAGCAAGTTTAGTCATCTTGTGTCCATCAGCCGATCAAGCTTGTTCTGCGCCTGGTCAACGCGAGTCGCCACTTCTGCGCAGATCTGATCTGGTCAGCCTGAGCGTCCAGGCTTTCGAAATGAACCACCTGAATGCCTACAGACCTGACATTGTGAGAAGATACTCTCGTCTGAGTTGTATTTTAGAATCTGACACAGTTTCCGCAAACCAGACGCACAGGGAAGCATTTTCGCAGCAGGAAGTCAAAGACGCAAGGGAACGTTTGGCGACTTTGGCAGAACTTCAAGGGAAATTGAATGAACTTTGGAGAGGCGTCAGATGGTTAATGGATGCCATAGGTAATAAAATGATAATGGTGATTTGTGGTATTCTCACACCTGAGTTTTGGGCAGACTTCTATTTATTACTAGATGACCCGACAGACGTTGTCCTGTAACCATGTCTGCAATTTTTAAATATAATATACTAATATTTACCATTTACATAAAAATAATAATTATTGTTTTTTAAATTACTCTTTACGCCAAAATGCATATACATGAGCGATTTATAATATGAGCGATATTAAATGTAGAAATGCTTTAAATAAATTGATGAGTCTCAGTTCCCACACTATATTGGAAATTTAAGTATTTTAAGCGGTATAACATAACCATACCATAACATAACACTGGTACTTCATGTTGGATTAAATTAATTTAATTTTTAATTATTTAAGATATCCAAAATTGCATCTTAAACTTCTCCTAATCGATATCGTGAGGGCCGAATTGTATGTATTCATCTTTACTTTCTCATTTGTTATTATAAAGTGAAAATTTTACGAATTTTTAAAATATTGTGGAAAGATTTGTAAAAGATGCAAAGAAATTATATATTAAAAAAAACTATTTTGAAGATTTAATATCCGAATCTTGTGTTGGCGCCCCCTAAGGCGTGCGCTCGTATTTTTCGCATGCATCGCATTAAAGGTAGGACCGGCTCTGATTAATACTTAATTTTATATTTTAAGTGAATTAATTTGTCATATCCTGTTCATATGTGTATCATTCAATCTACCATACATATACTGTATTTTATATTATTTTAATTTCTGGCACATCTCAGCTGCTTTTTGGCAATAATAATGCAAACATTTCATTTTTCTAATTCATAATCATAAATTTATCATACATATTCTAATATTGTCTAGGTTCATAAGTAAATTGAATTTTTTGGCTGATGATAGTTTTCATTTGTTTTCAATGCAAACAATGACATGTCGTTTTTTTAATTTTTTTTTCATTTATTTCTACAATGTTGCACATACATCCCAGTACTTTATAATCACATACATCCTAGAACATTTCTTTAACAAACTTCAGAAAAATTTATCAAAATCCGAATAATCGTTTAGGAGTATTATTAGTGAGCGCTTGTAATTTAATATGAACTTTATATAATAGCAATAAAGCTCAAATTGATTCTACGTTTTAGTTAGAAAGCGTTTGTATGTGAAAAAGAAAAGGGCTGTTTTTAGGGTTTTTGCGGCAATTATTCGATTTTTTCTCGCCGCAAGAACCATCCTTGGACTTCAAAAAACATTTTAAAAAAAGAATTGGCCAAATTGGTCCAGGCGTTGTTGAGTTATCAATGCGCTTACCAACACATTTTGCGATTCATTTTTTTATATAAGAAGATTATCATTATTATCTAATCGTGTTGATTTTTTAATTTCAGCTTTTGCGCGTGATAGAGGCGTCAACGGTTTAAGTCCTGGTGTGCACATTTCATCAATTTTGGATAAGAATTTATCGCAACAGCAAGTACCCAAATATAATTCAGATGATATGGCAAGCGATACAAGTTCTGCACCTACGGGTGGAAGTGGTTTGAAACGAAGTCTTTTGCAAATTCCTCCGAGGGAATCGAAGCAGGTTAAAAGCAGTCCTGGACGGGGATCGTGGCCGGGACCAACTGCAACTACTGGTAAATAGAAATATAAATCAAATCAAATCAATCAAATCAATTGGTCTTATTTTCTTTTATCCAGGTGTCCAGAACCAAGACGGTGACAACGATCCCTCAACAAGTACGAAGCAGCAGATGCTCTTACGAGGAGCAGAATTCTCTCGGAGTGAACAGCAATTGTCAAGGAACAGTTCATCACAACTGCTATTGGCACCGCCTTCAGGAGCTGCCGGATCAGCAGTCAGCAGCGCTGCCAGCTCAAGAAAAAACAGCGGAGATTCAGATCGAAGTGCCTCCAGCATTGGCGGATGTTTTATTATCCAAAGTAAGACCGAGATAAAATACTATTATTAACATCCCGAAGGAGAAGTTTATGTTTTCATCAAAAAATCCGACTCGCTAATTTTATGTTTTCTCGACGTTTCAAGGCATTCTGAATCGAATGAGACCAACATTCGGAAAAAGTGTGTGTGTGTATGTGTGTGTGTGCGTGTGAATAAATTTTTTGCCGTAAATCGACGTTTTCTCAAAAAACGGGTGGACCGATTTCAACAATTTAAAAGCCATCCGATGTATCTCGATGAGGACTAGCGTTTCTGAGTTTTGTGCGGCGATAGGCCAGGCCGTTTCTTTGTAAATCGCAGATATGTGAAAAAAATTCGTCCACGTTTTAGCCCGCAATTCTGAATCGATTTTGAAAATTCAAAAACCGTTTTATAGATATTGGTTGGAAATCGTGCTGATTAGTTTTTGGTAAAGATCGGCCGGGTCGTTCTCTTGTAATAAAGTTTAAAAAAAAATCGACGATTTTTATGATTTTTTTTTTCGATAGATACCATAGACTTGTAGATCATACTAAAATATTACGCCCCTACGACAAGTCGTTTAATTTTAAATATTGGTAAAATTTTGCAAAAGTTAGTATCGTTTTTTTGGCATTTGTCTAAATTAGACCTTCGATCGACGTTTTCTCAAAAACGGCTGGACCGATTTCAACAATTTAAAAGCCCTTTGATGTATCTCAATTAGTACTATCGTTTGTCAGTTTTGTGTGATGATCTGCCAAGCCGTTTTTTTTGTAATTTGGAAAAAGTGTTAAACTTTTCGTCCACATTTAAGCTCAAACTGCCGAATCGATTTAAGAAAATTAAAAACAGTTCGAAAGATATTAGTTGGGAATGGTGCTGATTAGTTTTAGGTGAAAATCTACCGAGCCGTTTTCTTGTAATTAACTGTTGAAAAAAAATTAAGCCGATTTTTATGGAACTTTTTTTGGCGATATATATCACGGTCTTATACAACTTATTGAAATATTACGCTCTTACGACAAGTAGTTTAATTTTAAAAATTCACCAAGTTTTGAGAAAATGTGTAGTTCTTTTGACGTTTGTTAAAATTAAAAATAGACGATTTACTTGGTATAACGATAGAGTACTTGGTCTTAATGAACATACTGAGCCATTAAAGTCCTATGGAAACTGGTTCAATTATAAAAATTATTGATTTGTGAAAATTTGCTTTTAGAAAATACTCCGAGTTAAGGTGTTCGTTTGTTTTCAATTATGTGTAATAAATCCACTCGGAATACTTTTAATGACTCATAAATTAATTTATTTTTTATTGATTAAGTCGATTATTTGCACATATCGGGAAGTTCATGTAACAAGCCTCAAAGCAAAATACCAAACCAACTAGTATGCTTTTTTGATACTAATCTATTTTTTTTAGTATGCTGACTAGTACCACATCAGCTCATCAGTACACCCAATCGCATCAGCAGTCTAAATACTTATCAGCAGCTCAAGGATCTCGTTTGCCTCCTTCGAGGAGTGAAGATGCTCTGCTGTTGCTCCATCACAAGGCGCAGCAGCAGAATCAGTTGCAAATGCAGCAGGCTGGTCAGGCTGGTGCAGGTTCTGGTAGTGAAGCAGGTAGAAGCAGACCAGGCACGTTGAGCAGTGGAGGTTCTGCGTCCAGTCCTTTGTTGCTGTTGACAGCAAGCACAGGTAAAAAGTATAGTAGAATCCGATTAGTATGACGCCGGATATATTGACAACCGCTTATTATGACGTATGGAGAAGAAACTAGGAAGTTTGGTTTCCATATAAAATTCCTTAAAAAACAGCTGTCTAGTCGGATATATTGACATAGCTTACATTGACATGTCGCTTATAATGACCCATTTTTGCAAAAAATTATGTCCAATTATAATGACCGACATGATTTTACATGATGTGGCCAAGTATACGAAAGCAATTGCTATGTCTTTTGTGCACAATAGCACTAGGGACTGTTTTTACAATAAAACTATGTAAAGAAATGAATCAAAAATTACTGATTACTTACATTAAACTAGTGGGGTGGGTGGCATCGTGCCTTAAGGCAAATTGCTGTAACTTCCCGTACCGTAACGAAATGTTCGAGGAATACTGAATGTTTTCAAATAGATTATTATAAATGTTGTAACATTGTCTAATATTTATAAGAATTATATAAACTGAATTGCAAAGTTGAAATTATTTGTTTCAACAAAAAACTAAAAAAAAAAAAAAAAAATGGAACAAAATTTTTTTTTCCAAAATCAATTATTTTGTTAAGACAAGCAGAAAGTTTTTTGAATCATTCAAATCGGACGCTTAGTTCTCTCAAAAACTGCCATTTTTTACATATTTAGCTCCGTATCTTTGAAATGGCTGGGCCTGCCTTTGCCAAAAACTAATAAACACTTTTCCCAATCATTACTAATTGAATGTTTTTTAGATCATACAAATCGAATACTCCGTTCTCTCAAAAATTCGATTTCTATTTTCCGCACTCTTTGCTCCGTATCTCCGAAACGACTGGACCTGCCTTTGCCAAAAACTAATCAGCTCTTTTCCCTATCAATAGGAATCGAATGTTTTTTGAACCATTCAAATCGGTTGATCCGTGCGCCCGAAAACGTGACTGGAAATTTGTATCCACACATACATACACACACACACACATACACACACACACACACACACACATCCATTTTTTCTGAGGTATGCCAAAACGTTCAGAAACCTTCAAAACGTCGAGAAATGTAAAAATTTTCAATTCCGATTTTTGGCCCATTACAATAACTTACCCTACGGGAAGTTAAAAATCACATTTGTATGTTTATGGGTAGGGTAGACCAATTATTAATGGTCCACCACGGATATCTCGTAAACAAATAAATTAGATTTTTTTCAACAAAAATATTTGATAGTAGAGGGCAAAAAATGTATAAATTCATAACCAGCCATCACCTTTATTCTTATGACTTTGCAATCAGAAGATAAGCAGCACATGAGTGGGATAAAAAGGACCAGCAGAACATTTACTTTGGCAAAGGTGTAAGCAATAAAATAGTAAAGTTTAAAAAAAAGCAATTTTACAAGAGATTAATTAAATAAATTGTTATTCCGGCTCGTCTGATGAATACTTCTGACCAATAGCAGATCAATGTGATATACTGTGTTATCTTTGTAACAAATGTACCCACAGAATTAATATTTTGCATTGGTTCAATAATGTAGCGTAAAATCCCTTTAAAATTTAATAGAAGAAATTGCATCTGTTCGCCCCTGGTTGTCCCACTTTACCCCACATGTGAGGTAAAATGGATCAGATACCAAATTTTAAAAAAAATAGTAAAAAATATAATATTTATATAATTAGGAATTATGTGATTTTTTTTCTGTACATAGTTCGATAGATGCTTGTTTGATGTGTGTTATGTGTTGCAAGGATGTTCATTGGGTTTAGACAGTATAATTACTGAAAGTCAAATTGGACCTTTGTGCCCCACTCTATACCCTGTCAATTTTATTTTACATTAAATTTTAATATGTGTCATTTTTATTTTTAATTAAAATGCTTGTATAGGCTTTTCTTTTAAGTTATTGAAACATGTAACATATTTACATATTAAAAAGTTTTTCTTCAGTATGTTTTGTATGACGACCGGTTAGTATGACGAGATTTCGGCGCCCCTTCGATGTCATACTAAGCGGATTCTACTGTAGATGCAATAGTAAAATTATATTAAGAACGATTTTAAGTTTGTTGTTTTTGTATTTTAGGTTCTATAAGAACAGCAGATACAAATTCGGATTCCTTACATTCCCTTTCGAGTGATTCGGAAACTTGCAGCTGTCCAGCTACGAGTAACGGTGAATATTAAATTTTTATTTAATCCAGAAACTTTGAAATAAATTTTAAACTAGTGGTGTATGGCATCGTACCTTAAGGCAAATTGATGAAACTTCCCGTATCATAGCGAAATATTCGAGGAATATTGAGTACTGCAACTTATATATGTTTATATGAAAAGTAAAGGAGCAAAACTTAATAAAGCGGAGTTAGAATAAAGGATCTTATCTCATATTTCTAAGAATCATATAAACTGATTTGCAAAGTTAAAATTATTTATTTGAAGTATATAAGTGAGCTTTAGAACATTAGTTAGAATTAAAATCCGATTTTTTTGCTATTCAAATAAAATATTTTTTGGGAGTTTAAAAAAAAATTAAAAAAAAAAACCCAAAAGTTATCATTTTGTCAACACAAGCAGAATTATTTAAATCGGATGTTGAGTTTTCTTAAAAATGCCATTTTTGCATATTTAGCTCGGTATCGCCAAACTGGCTGGATCTGCCTTTGCCAAAAACTAATCATCACTTCTCCCCCGTATAAATTGAAAAATAAAATAAATTGGATACTGTTGAACTAAAAAAAGAATATTTTTGACAATTTTTCTTCTAAACTAATACATAAAAGTACCTTTGATCGAACCAGTGCAAATATAAAAAAAATAAATTCTATATAATATATTTTATTTGGTCAGCAGTATCCAGTAAAATTGATTAACAAAAATTCCATTAATTATAAACTAATTAAAAATTATTGCCATATATAAACCAAAAGTCTGCAAAATGATATGTAAATTTGCATTTGCATTCGAAGTGATTTGTATTGTGTGAATAATACTATTAAGTGGTAAAATATTATATAATTACTAACAAAAATAATTTACATTTTAATTTGTGATTATTTTGGCACAAGAAATCTGCAGAAGAGTTCAAACAGAAAATTCATATATATTCAGTGTATATATTTATTATAAATATGTTGTAACTCTTAAACGGTTTATATAATTCGAATGAAATATTTGTCAAATTTGTACAAAATTAAATTGTTTATAAAATTGTCTAACATTATAAAGCCTTGCCGCAACTCAGTGTACTCTAAAATCGACCCTAAACATAGATATTGCAACAAAGCACATGAAAATGTATTTGCTCGTTAATGTTTGTCTTGTAACTTTTATACCGTTTGTTTGATCTTAGTGAAATATTTGGCAAATTTGTACAAAATTAAATTGTTTATAATATTGTCTGAAGTTGTAAAACCCTACAGCAACTCTGTATACTTTAAAATTGACCCTAAACATAGATATTGCAACAAACACATGAAAATGTACTTGCTTGTGTGATAACGCGTTCATGCATATATTTAATGTTTGTCTTGTAACTTTTCTATTATTTGTTTGATCTTAGTGAAATATTTGGCAAGTTTGTTCAAAATTAAACTGTTTATAATATTGTCTAACATTGTAAAGCCCTACAGCAACTCGGTATACTTTAAAATTGACCCAAAACGTAGATATTTTTTCCAATTTTTCTGAGGTTTGCCAAAATGCTGAGATACCGAAGACATGCAAAAATTTTCAGTTTTGATTTTTGGACGATCACAATAACTTACGTCATAAATTTATATCTATTTTTAAAAATACAGTTTGATACAGTGAATTTAATCATTTAATAATTGATCTCAGATTTTTCTTTATTTTAGTCAACTTGAAATCGGCAGGGCGTGGATACAGACATCATGGTAAGAAAAACTTCTTGCATGTACTAAAAACATGTAAATGTTGATATTCATATTTAATTTCATTTCCAGTTTCCACCTTAAACACAGGAGGTTCCAAAAGCCTTTGCAGCATCACGGATAGTCCTTCAGACACCAAACGCAACCCAGAAACCATTTCCAGAAGCCACTTTTCCAAAAGACAACCTGAAACTAAACGACCAGCCTTGGAGCTTCTCAAAAGTCCAGGCGATTCCAAAAATACCAAAATTTCCAACGATGATAAATCAGCAGGAGTGACTCGTAATGCTGCCAGTGCTGGTGGTAAGAAGTATTTGGACTTTGGATCGTCCAAGAGTGAATCCGGTCCTGTTTTTGAACCAGGATGTGGATCAGTGAAGAGCTATGTGAGGTCCTTGAACAGATCCTGTGAGAATTTGACTCGGGTCAACGATTTGACCACTGTTCGAGGGAATTTGGACACGGGGAGGGAATTGAGGAGAACTAATACCAAGTGAGATAGAAAATATTGATTAAATAAATTGTTTTCGACAAAAAAATTATAAGTGCTGGATTTTTTCAGGTCTGTCGATCAACAAACAGTATTACAACAAACCATACAGTATTTACGGCCAACTTTAGAAGCCGAGATGCAAACTCTTTCGTCTTCGGGGAAGGAAAATTTTAAAATTCATAGGTGAGTCGAAGAAATTTGTCTAAATATGCTGAATTCTAAATGTTTCTATTATCCCTTTAGGTCTGATAAAGTGAATCATCTATCAATAGCATCAAGTCTTCAAAATTCACCAAAAAAACAGAACTTCTTAACGGATTTCAACTCCTCGAGCACCACAAAAAGTGTATCAGAACCTTGCTCGAAAGTGAGCTCACCAGAAAGAGGAAGGAGTGCTGCTTCAGCAGACGAGGATTGTGATAGTTCGAGTGATATTGATAAGCAAATCTTATCCGGGAGCCCCGTGCACCCTCAACAAGGAATCATACAGGTAATAATATAAAAATATGATTATAAAGCAGACATTTTTGATATTGAAAGAGTTTTTGTCATTATGTGAATTTAGAGCATTTTTGTACATTTTGTTAAACGTATTAAATTTTTTGTTCTAGACACTTTAATTTATTTGCATGATTAAAAACTAGATAAAGTTTACTAGAATTTGTTATAATTTGTTGTATACACTTGGATAACAAAATTTTGAATAAGTTGTAGTTGAAATACGGACTTATATTTAGTATTCTTATAATTTGCAATACATGGATTAGGTACATTTTTTTACTTTTCTTCAAATATCTTTTAATTTTCATTCCGGACATTATAATTTGCTTACGTTACTAAAAACTAGATGAAATTTACAAACATTTAGTAAAAATTTTATGTTTTCTCGACGTTTCAAGCCATTCTGAATCTAATGAGACCAAATTTGGAAAAAGTATGTGTGTGTGTGAACAGATTTTTTGCCGTAAATCGACGTTTTCTCAAAAATGGCTGGACCGATTTCAAACATTTAAAAGCCATTCGATGTATCTCGATGAGGACTAGCGTTTATCAAATTTGCGCGACTATCAGCAAAGCCGTTTCTTTGTAAATAGCAGAAAAGTGAAAAAAATTTTGTCCACGTTTTAGCCCGCAGTTATGAATCGATCTTGAAAATACAAAAACCGTTCGAAAGATATTGATTGGGAATCGTGCTGATTAGTTGTTGGTAGAGATCGGCCGGGCCGTTTTCTTGTAATAAAGTGTTAAAAAAATTTTTGTCGACGATTTTCATTATTATTTTTTTGACGGTAGATACCATAGTCTTCTAGATCATACTAAAATATTACGGCCCTACGATAATTGGTTTAACTTTGAAAATTCGTCAAAGTTTGCAAAAATTGGTATCGTCTTTTTGGCATTTGTCAAAATTAGACCTTTCATTGACGTTTTCTCAAAAACGCCTGAACCGATTTCAGAAATTTAAAAGCCATTTGATGTATTTCGATGAGGACTATCGTTTGTCAGTTTTGTGCGACGATCTGCCAAGCCCTTTCTTTGTAATTTGAAATTAATTTATTAATTTCAATAATTAATTTGGAAAAAAGTGTTAAGCCTTTCGTCCACATTTAATGTCATCCTACCGAACCAATTTTAATAAATCAAAAACTGTTCGAAAGATATTAGTTGGGAATGACACTGATTAGTTTCAGGTGAAAATGTACCAAGCCGTTTTCTTGTAATTAACTGTTGAAAAAAAAAAGCTGATTTTTATGGATTTTTTTTAGCGATATGTATCATGGTCTTATAGAACTTACTAAAATATAAGGTTGTCAAATATCTCCCTTCCGCCTTTTTGTATTATAAACCAAGAGCAAAAAAGCGGAAGGGAGATATTTGACAACCTAATATTACGGCTTTACGACAAGTAGTTTACTTCTTAAATTTATCAAAGTTAGAGAAAATGAGTAGTTTTTTTGACGTTAGCTAAAATTAAAATTAAACGATTTACTTGGTATAACGATATAGTACTTGGTCTTAATAAACATACTAAACTATCAAAATCCTACGGAAACTGGTTCAAAATATATTAATTGTTGATTTTTGAAAAGTTGCTTTTTGAAAATACTCCGAGTTAACGGAGTAATTCTCTCGGAATACTTCTAATCACTCATAAATTAATTTGTTTATTATTCATTAGGTCGATTATTTAAACATATCGGGAAGTTCATGTAACTTGCCTCAAGGCTAAATACCAAACCAACTAGTTTCTTTTAAATTTCATCCACGTAGAAGGCCGGAATCACTGCAGTAATAAAGGAGCTTTTTTTCGCGCCGTTGGAGATCGACGATAACTTAAAAACTATTTAATTTTTTTCTTCAAAATTTTACTATGTATTCTTAAAACATTTGTAAATATATTCCTAAAATTTTGAAATGATTGATAAAGTAGTATTTTTAATATAAATTTCCAAAAATCACCTTTCTTTTAGGCGGTTACACTAGTTGTGCCCTTTAAGGGGGTATTCTACTGTAGAATTTTGAAAAAATCAAAAAAATTTTTCTTCATATTTTCAAAGTTTAGTTATTCAAAAATATGTCATTGAAAGGATTTTTCGAAATTACTACTATTTTCTGAGTAATATCCGTTTTAGTGACGTGGCTTCGGTTCGGGTCCGACCGAGTCTCAAAACTTTAAACGCGTTTTTCTCGGAACTGCTTTTTTCGAGCTGGCGGTAAGGATATCTCGAGTTCTAATGAACCGATTTACTTCAAATTTGAAGAGGATCTTCTCTATACATCGCTTTATCGCATGGACCTTTCTCAAAACTATAACTTTTCATTTAGTATTTTTAAAAAATTCGGAATTGTTAAAAAAAACATGAAAAAAATATTTTTTTTTTCAAACTGCCGCCATTCAAACAAAATTTTTTTTAACTTATCCAAGGTTCATACGATAGCGGCATCTATAATAATTAAGAATCCATCTATTTTTTATGTTTGGGATCACCAGGAGGGTTGGAATCATGCACGCCAGAACACCCTCTTTTTTTTGAGCCCCCACTTTGACTGCTCATAACTTTGTGAATTCTATTTTTTTTTCTTTAATAATTTTTTTTATGTAATAATAAAATATCAATAAACAAATGATAAAAAAATCTATAGTAAAAATATTATTTGTTTCCTTTATACAGCGCTTCAAAAACCGGGCAAAATTCATGCTTCTACAGTAGAATACCCCCTTAAACAAAAAATTCTCTATCAAATATCTCGTTCAGGTCTACGCTGCCTACGACACCGGCCTGGCAACTGGTGCTTCTCTTCGGCTCCGTGTCACTAATCGCACGAGCGCCGCAGAGGTCGTCGAGCTGGTCGTCCGCCAACTGCACGTCGCCAGCGTCCTCCGCGGCGGACGGGGCCTCCTTAACGGCAAGACCAACATCCCGAACACGTCCAGGGGACTCAGTCTGCCGGAGATAAATTTCCCGCCACGTCCAAAACTCATCAGCCACCGTCTGAACTGACGACGACCACTACTACATATCCGACGAGACCGACGTTTTTCACGAGCGAGCTGAAGACCAACAGGCCGAGTGGAAGTAAATTTGGTGCGAGTGCAGGAGATGGTAAGAATTTGAATCTGAGTGCTCTGTCGGGAGGCGTTAAGGAGAAGGCTAAGGAGTTTTGTCTGGTTGCCGTTATCGGAGCCAGGGAGAGGAGGCTGAGAGATGATTTCAGGTAATTGATAATTGTAATTGATTCTGGAATTGTTTGTATATATTGTGTAAATTGTGTGTGTGTTAGTTGAAATTTGATATTTTCTTAACGATGTTTTAAAAACGACTATACCGATTTCAAAAATTTAAAAATCATTTGATGTATCTCAATAAGGACATACTTGTTATATATATATATATATATATATATATATATATATATATGTATATATATATATATGATTTAGTAGTTAATTTTGATGTTGAAATATATGAGTGAGTTCTTGAGGGCGATACATCAAACAAAGAAAAGCCAAAGATTTATAAAATAATCTTTATTTCCAAACGTTTCGACATTCAATTTAATGTCATCATCAGTGGATATTACGTTGGTTGGTTACATATAGAGAAGTGTACACAGCACTAGAGATTGGCACTAACATTTATACAACTAACTTGTCAGCACTATGCATTTTTTTATATAATTTTTTTGCATGATGTAAACAGAAAATGATAGTTTTATTGAACAATAATGTAAGTAGAATCTACTTCCATTATTGTTCAATAAAACTATCATTTTTCTGTTTACATCATACAAAAAAAAAAAATTATATAAAAAATGCATAGTGCTGACAAGTTAGTTGTATAAATGTCAGTGCCAATCTCTAGTGCTGTGTACACTTCTCTATATGTAACCAACCAACGTAATATCCACTGATGATGACATTAATTGAATGTCGAAACGTTTGGAAATAAAGATTATTTTATAAATCTTTGGCTTTTCTTTGTTTGATGTATCGCCCTCAAGAACTCACTCATATATATATATATATATATATATACACACCTAAGTCTGTTTTTACACGGTAGATTGGTTCCAGAAGAAGCCGTGTAAAAAAAACCGTGTAAAAAGGACATTGATCTTATACAAAAATGGGTGATTTGTTCCTAATCTCTAAAACCTATTAAAATTAGTGAAAAACAAGAATTTTTAAGAACAAGAATTCATGTTTTTTTATTAAATCAAATATATAATGCTATTTTCACAAGCATAGCAATTAATGATAAAAAAGATATGCACTCTAATCTTAAAAGTAATATAAATTAAATGTATGGCAAGTTCAGGAACTAAAAAACTGTGTAGTGAACGAAAAGAATAGGTTATTCAATTTTTAAGGTAATTGATTGATTTCAGACTTTTTTCTTTCATAAATACTTTTTTGTGATATGAACATACTTCGCAAAAATTAAATTTGACAAAAAAAATGAAGTACATAAAATTTCAAATCGTGCTAAATGGAATAAAATCGTGTAAAAAAATTAAAATATTCAATTTTCAAAAACCGTGTTATATCAAAACCGTGTACAAAAAGACCGTGTAAAAACAGACTTAGGTATATATATATATATATATATATATATATATATATATATATATATATATTAACAAAGTCTAATAATCGGGCATAACATCAATAAAAAATATTGTTTTTTATTGATGTTATGCCCGATTATTAGACTTTGTTAATACATATGTCAACATCAAATTCAGAATCATACAATATATATTATATATATATATATATATATATTATATATTTAATTTGAGTTTAATATTCGGGCGTAACATCAATAAAAATAGTATGAGAGTTTTTTTTTAAAGTTTATTTATTTAAAATCCATACGTTTCGGCTAGCATCTTAGCCATCATTCAGTGGTAATCAAATTAACTGTAAAAATTAAAACTAAATAAATTATATGCAAGAAAATTTCATGGAAAAACAATAATAATAATAAAACACTTACAATTTGTATCCTAATGTAGCATATGAAACCATTATTAATCCATGGATGAGTATGTGCATCTTATCAATGTGCACATACTCATACCATGGATTTAATTAATAAGTTAATTTGATTACCACTGAATGATGGCTAAGATGCTAGTCGAAACGTATGGATTTTAAATAAATAAACTTTCTAAAAAAACTCTCATACTATTTTTATTGATGTTACGCCCGAATATTAAACTCATATTAAACATATATATCAACATCAAATTCAAGAATATATATATAGATGTGTGATTGTATAGATGTTGTATAAGGATGTGTGTTGTTTAAATGCTATATACAATGAGGTATTATAAACTCCCATTAGTTGGTATATATTTTTGTCAATACAATCAAACTAGAAGTTTTATACACTTTCCATCCAATCCAAGTCTCTTTTGGTCTTTCGACTTATTGATTACGTTTCAAGTTTTTCAGATTCTTTTTGGATTCTGGATTTTGTGTATAATTGTAAATATACTACTGAGCTTATAGAAAATATCAAATTTCTGCGAGGAGAGATAGAAAAAGAATTAAGTGTTCCTTCTTTGACTTGCTTTTTGAAAAGTTTCAAGTAACATTCGATAAATTAAAGTAAATTTAATAAAAAGTATATATGTAGAGCAGCAGAGCAAGGCACAAGAATTATTATTTCTCTTTTTCTGATGCCATTGTATACTGACTTCATGATTATGTCTTTTTCAAATGTTTATTTATTTTATAGTCACAATTTTAAACGTAGCTAAATTTAAATTCTTAGGGATTTATTTGTGTTTTAAGGCAAAACACCACTTGTACTTATTTTATGTATATATTAATAAATAATAATGAATATTATTATTTTTCAGGCCGTTGCAGTTGCAAGATCCTTGGATGAAGGGACGTCTGTACGTCCGACACAGAAAAGACACATTGGCTGCCATTGAACACTCCACTAGACATAAAGATGTTGTTTAATTTAATTTAGATAAATATATATATATAAGAATGATATACATACACATATATCATTTACCAAATTGTATATTTTCTAGTTATCAAGTTGAAAAAATTTCTCTGCGATGGTAAAAGCAGCTTTATATTTATATAAATATTTGTACATATATATAAATGTCTTTGTAATGATATTTTATTATCATGGCACCATATGAGTGTGTACTTTAGAATCGAGCACAGTGTTTTTGAATCGTTTACTTTAATGAAATGTTTGTCCCTGAAAGTAAACCGACATATCTCTGTAGCTCTAAATATCAAAATATATATAAATATAAATAGTGAACACAAAACTCCAATGTATGTGCATTTATTGTGTAGATGATAAAAATAATATATTGAGAAAATATATATATATATATATATATATATATATATATAGATAAATAGTTGTAAGAGAGATTTAAGAGTTTGTGTTAGTAATATATATATATATATATATATATATATATATATATATATCAATTACCAATTTTATATATAAGAAATTGTATATCACCAATAGGGAACACACAGGAATTTGTCTTAAGTCTGTTTTTATTCTTTCGAACTAATTTAAAACTTTTTAATATTCAATGATATTAAAATAAATTATATATTATCAATACTTATGAGTCAAGACCATGACAAAACATATGATACGATATGATCTCCTTATCTTATCGATTTAGATTTAGTAAGAAACAGGTATTATATTATAGACATATATATATATATATATATATATATAATATATATATATATATAAATAAATATATATATATATATATATATATATATATATATCTGACAGACAAGAATTTGAACCAAATTATTGTTAGTCTCAAAAAATGAAATTTGTGAATATGAATTTAGAGTTAGAGTTAATTAAATAATTGTTTATATATATATATATATATATATATATAATATATATAAACATTATTTATCTATTGATTCCTTTACCCAAGTCTATTATTTTTTTAAAAAAGTATTAGTCAATAAATTAAAGAAAATGTTTATATACATATATAAACCAATAGGAGATGAAATTATTAATTGTTAACTCAAATAAAAAAACTATATCGCAATTGAATGTACCAACACCAGAATTTAGATATTAAATGTATACTGTATTAAATATTAAGAAAAAAACTAATATATTTATATATATATAACAATGCTGGATAGTGATCATTATATATACATATATATATATATATATTATATATATATATATATATATATATATGTAATGATTTCACTATCAAGTATAACTTTCTGAATTGTTAAAAGAGAGTTTTCGATATTATATAAAAAATTGTAATCCCTTTAAATGATAATTAGATGAAAATCCGCCCACTTTATAAATAAATGTAAAGCCTAATTCAACACACCACCAATTATTTAAACAAAAATGTTATAATTCAATGTATATGTATAAATAAATAATTATATATCACTTTATATAATGTATAAAGTCAAATTCGTGGACTGCTATCCATGGATTTTTCTAAACACGTGTTGTACTCGATTTGAAAATGATGTCCTTTTTTGCCAAATTTATAAAGCGATGTATAATTGTTTATGAAAATTGAATAGTTATTAAATGTATATTGAAAATGGCCCACTATATATATAGATATTATAAAGATGATGAAAAGATATGTATATTTTGAAAATAGAATATAAGTGAACGTCTAAAATTACTGATTTGTTTTATTATCTATTAATTATTAATTTATATATATATATATATATATATATATATATATTATATATGTTTATTTTCAGTGAGCAGTATTTTTAAATTAAATGATTTAAAATATAAAATTGAAAGGTATGTTTTGATTAATAATTAATTATGATTATTAATTATATATATAAAATTATTAATATAATCAATTATATATATATATATATATATATATATATATAATAATTATAACAAATTCCTATAAGACTTCCATGGCACACCTCTAATTATAAGAAATTTGTTTTCAAACCCCTAACAGTATATGCAACCTGTTATACGTCATATATACACAATATATATACATATATATATATATATATATGTATGAATGCATTGAATATGTATGTAGTGGTGAAATCATGAATACGTGTGTAGTTTAGGGAGTCCATCGCCAGTTATATATCGGTATATTGAGAGATAATTGCGAGCACGGACGACTCCTTGTCAATTTTGAGGTGACTGTACCAATTTTATTAGGGAGTCCATGCATGGCCTAATAAATATATGGGTGTATAAAGTAGTTAGTAGGATTTTATTGTTGACAAATAATGATTAATTTGACCATTTTAATTGATTAATTATTAAATTTGGAACAGATATGGCAAAAGCGTTAGAATATCTAATAAAACATTGAAAACAAATCCATGGATAGATATCTACGAATTTTTATATACACTTCTCATATACATATACACCTCTATAATTTGAATTATATGTGCGATATATAAATTCCTATAAGATTCTTATAGCGCGCGAGTTCGTCGTTTATAAACGTCTGGCTGTATATGCAACCCTATACACTCCATATATACACGATATATAATTATATGGAACGTCGACATGTATATATATAATCTATTATAAATTTGTATAGACGATATATAAATGTGGACCAGGTTGGGAACGAGATATACGCGTTGTGCATGTGTGGGTGCATCGAATACATATGTAGTGGTGATTTCAAGAATGCATGTGTAGTTTAGGGAGTCCATCGCCAGTTATATATCAGTATATTGAGAAATAATTGCGAGCGCGGACAACTCCTTAACAATTTTGTGGTGACTGTATCAATTTTATTAGGGAGTTCATACACTGCTTAATAAATACATTGAAAAATAGACAATACCGAAAAAAATAAATATACATAGACTGTTTTTAAGTCTTTATAAAATACAAATTAAACCATATAGCAAATTTTATTAAATATACAAATATATATAAAAGAAATTTATGCATTTTAATTTATATTTTATTTAAATCAACATAACATAGTTTACACAATATTAAGCAAATATTATTCAATACATATTACAACAATAATAATAATTTTAGGTCCAGTTTTTAAAGTTTAAACATACTCAGTTCAATTATATATTGCATGAAAATCAATTTTGACAATTTAATTATTATATTCATAAACTATTTGTTCAATAATTGCTAATTGTATATGTAATTTTATTTCTAATTATTATAAAAGAAACATTAGAGTTTGAACAACCCCAAATACACGTGAAATTTTTAAATCATCATTTTGGGTGTTTTCTGAGCAAAAAACGGACAAAATTCTCCCCCTGAAACCCCCCGCTTGAAATCCGTACAACCCTAAAGAATTGTATGCCATCATTCTGCAACCCCTCCGCAACTTTTTCAATTTCCAGTATTTTTTCACCCCACATTTGCCAGAAATCCATTCTCAGTGTCCTCTCATATAGTCGACGGCCATTTTGCATCTCGGTAGCCGAAACGGCTAAAGGACTTCACTTATTTCACCAGTTCAGAAGTCCAGGGTCAACCAGTTCGAATCCCAATCCTGATGATGTGATCTCAATGCAGTTGTCCAGAGCAGATCGTGCGTCCTTCAGTGTACTTGAATGCAGCTGTAAGAAAATAAACGATGAGTTGTGGTTGGATGGATAATTAATAAGATATTAAAGACAAAATAGAAGTCGTTATGAGAACTCAAACGCATGTTTTGTGTAACGACTGCATGGACAAGGCCGTTTAGTAGCATTTGTTAGATGATGCACTCTGCAGTTCGAATCTTCTGATGAGAATTGAAGAGAAATAATAATTATTTTTCATAAAGTTCAGTACCTCAAACTAGACAAAAGACTTTCTCATTAAATTTTTTTCGCTTAAGAAATGAATAGCCAAGGTCGTTAAGTAGCAACAGCGGTTAATCCAGCCCAACGGTGCTGTAGTTCGAATCTTCAAATAACAGATAAATCTAGTTGCATTAGAATGTATAGAACAGTGCAAGTTCGAGACGTAATAACGATATTCAATTT